TTGGGAGCCTTCTAGAAGACCAGAGTATGCACACACTAGCCAAGGGATTTAGGCCAAGTTCATCTCCCAGAGCCACGGTTTCCTTATCTATACTATGGAATTAGAAACCCTACCTATGTAACAGTTGTGACAATCAAATGTGATCATTAAAAGACAGGGCTTTGAAAACCATAACATATTACCCAAATGCAAGCTGATATTCATTTTCCTCTTAGTATTACCATCATATCTGAACACGTTTGGGTTAATACAGAGGAGCTGTGAAACTAAATGTTTGTGGTTTGCCTTTGTGATATTATATGGTTCTCCCTTTCTCCAAGTATCATATGCTTTTAGAGGTTTTTCTAGTATCCAGGCAACATATTGCCTCCACTTAGCCCTTGCAAAAACCTGAATTAAAAATAGACTCTGTTTGCTGTGTTCTGAACCCTATACCTATATGTTTTAAAGGAGTCAAAGGTTCCCCTTGGCACTCAAAGGGGCAGTAGTCCTGTCCTAGCACTTTTAGAGCACATACCAAGCCATGCAGAGGAAAGCGGAGAAGCTTTCCTGGAGGCATCTTGGAGGAAGGAAGGGAGCTCTAGCGGCTTAGAGTTATCAGGGAAAGGACCATTGGTTCTATTAGTGCAATCACTAGCACTTCACATAGAAGGTTCTTTGTCATCATCATGATTTACTAATCTCATCAGAGACAATCCAGGTAGTGTTTCAAAAGGTTTTTTCACAGTTTCAAAGTACATCTTGCTTAATATTAGGATGTGCCTCAGACATTTCCACAAAGTAAATAAGATGCTTTTTTTATTTTATTTTTTTTAATTGACAAGTAAAAATTATATATCTTTATTGTTTTTTTTGTGACATTTGGAAATATGTATACATTGTGAGATGACTCAGTGGAGTTAGTTAATTGAGGCAATGTGCATTTCCTCACATAGTTATTTTTTGTGATGAGAACACTTAAAATCTACTTTCTTAGTGATTTTTAAAATACGACCATGTTATTAACTGTAGTCACCACATTGTACAGTAGATCTCTTGGACTTATTCCCCCTGTCTAACTGAAATTTTATCCTTGGTCCAATATCTCCCCAAGCCCCCAGCCCCCAACCAGCCCCTGGTAACTGGCATTCTACTTCGAGTTGAACATTTTTAGATTCTATATATAAGATGCTTTTTAGCGATACCCAAATGTATCAATATTAAAGCACTTAATTTTTACACAGACCTGGGGAGGAGGAAACTTTGAGGTGTCATTCCTAGTATGTCAGCAAAATAACGCCTTTTGTTAATAGTCCCCGTGTTACCAGTGGTGACATTAACGATGGTGTTTGTACAGCTTTACCAAGAGGTTTACAAGTTTTTCTTTGGCTTACCCGTGGGTGGGTATGATTGGTAGCAAATAACATTTTTACCCTTTTTTCACCAAAAGGAATGGCTCTCTCAGAGCTTTTGCTTTGTTGAAGTCAAACATTTAAACTTAAAAGAGAACTTCCAACTTTGATTCTAGGCTCATTTTGCAAACATGGATGTGGAGGCAGCCTGGGTTTGGCAGTCAGACTCCACCACACACTAGCAAAGGGACTTGGGCAAGTCACTTAACCTTGCTGAGCCTAAATCCACCCCTGTAAAATGGGAACAGTTGTTACTATGCTTCATGTTTCTGGAGAGGGTCAAATGAGTGAGGAGATTCTGATTTAGAGGCAGTGGGGTATAACTTGGGACTCTGGAGCCAGCCTTCCTAGAGGTGAGTCCCAGCTTCACCTTGTCAGTAGCTGTGTGATCTCGTGTAAGTTGCTAAACCTTCCTGAGCCAATAGAAACAGTAAGAGTGCCTACATCATAGAGTCGTGAGGATAAAAGGGTTAATATAACCAGAAAGCAGTTAGAACAGTGCCTTCCATTTAGTAGTAAACACTACATTAGTATGTGCTATGATTATGACAGATTATGATGATAATTGTTGTTATTCATATATCAAGTGCCTGGCATAAATTAGTTGGTCCAAAAAGATTAATAACTACTTTTATTATGTCTCCCATCAGAGCACCTGAATTTTAAATGCTCTGAATGGAAAGTAATATTATTACCAGTCTGTTTTTGATTTAACTAAATATATAACAGCAGGGTTCTTTTCAAAATCTTACTCCTCAGGGGCTCAAAACTTAACCTCACACTAGAGGAGAAAGATTTTTTCTTAAAACAAGACCATATATTTGGTCCTCACTCCAGACCTTTGGAATCAGAAATTCTGGGGACATGACCGTCATCTGTTTTAGCAAGTGTACCCAGTGATTCTCATGCTCCTGAAGTTTGATATCACTATGTGTAGACGAGTCACAGCTTTGACTACCTTCTATTGCCAGGGTGGAGACAACAAAGAATTGGATACTCTGGCTGGCTGTTCCAGCCCAAGAAGTGTTCAAATGATGTTATCGTGGTGGTTTTGTGGGTTAAGCAGATACAGGTAGTTCTGGAAAGCAGGGTCAGGGGTGTGGTGGGGGGGGTACGGTACGGGGGGTGCAGAGCACTTGGGCAGCATGTGAACCTGTTGATAGATCTGGCTTAGAACAATGTGGCGTATTGGGCCCTCTGGGAAGTGCTCATGTCACCTCTTGTGCCTTACCGGTCTGAGTGACGCGTGGGAGAAGAGATGTCTTTTGAATTTTTATGCAAGGTTAAAATAAAGAAAATCCATTTCAGCCTTTAAAAGTCAGAGCTACTGGTACAAAAGGTCACTGACGCCAATTGGTGACATTGCAGAGCTCAGAGAGGGAGCATTAAAATAGCAGGGTTTTTGTTTTTTTTTTTTTAAAGAAACACTGAATGCGCTGTGGGCTTAAGTCTTAGTCTTTTTTTTTTTTTTTGTCCTAGGATCTTAAATAAAAGGGCACGTGAAAAAAGAAAAACACGAAGACATTTTTCTACCTCCTTAAGTGTCAAGGATGTAGATAGTTGTCCTCACACTAAAGGTGACATAACCTTTATTGTGGAATAAGCAAAGTGATGAAATGATGCCCCTATGGGAAAGTAGTCAATAAATGGACTAGAGACCTAGCCCTGTTCTAGATGTAGTCTGTTTGAGGTCAAGTTTGGATAACTGAAGATGACAGTGCCTTGGGAAATGAAGTCAATCTAGAAGTGGTGTGGAGAGGTTGTAAGATATTAATTGGGCTCTGTATACACTGCATTTGTGTTGACAGAACAGCATCCCAATTGATTGAAAAGAATCTGCGAGCCATCTGAATAGAAACCGTATTTAAGCCATTAGGAATGAATTGATTACCAGGGTAATTAAGGAGACCTGAGGATCAAGGACCAAATTCTGGGGACACTGCAATTATAGCAAATACAATATGAGAGGTCAGTGAAGAAGTGACAGGAGAGACTATCAGAAAAGCTGGAAGTAGGCCGGGCGTGGTGGCTCATATCTGTAATCACAGCATTTTGGGAGGCTGAGGTGGGCAGATCATATGAGGCCAGGAGTTTGAGACCAACCTGGCCAACATGGTGAAATCCCATCTCTACTAAAAATACAAATATTAGCCAGACGTGGTGGTGCATGCCTGTAGTCCCAGCTAGTCAGGCTGCTGAGGCATGAGAATTGCTTGAACCCGGGAGGCAGAGATTGCAGTGAGCTGAGATCGCCCCCCTCCCTCCAGCCTGGGCAACAGAGCAAGACCCTGTCTCAAAAAAAAAAAAAATTAAAAAAAAAATTTAAAAATGTATGTGTGTGTGTGTGTGTGTGTGTAAAAAAAATATATATAGAAGTGGCTCCAGGATGTGTGTGTGTGTGTGTGTGTGTGAGAAGAAATTTTTTCCAGAATAGACAGGTGTTCTCTGGTGTTAAAAGCTTGAAGAAATAAAAAGATACAAAGCATGTGGGGAGGTGGGGATGGATCTTAGATTTGCTGGGTAAAAACATTAAATCAGTAAGAAAGTATCTTTTCTATAAAGTCAATGATCTTTATTACATCCATTCAAGTCAGTGTTTCTTAACCTCAGCATTATTGACATTTTGGTCTGGATGATTCTTTGTGGTGGGAACTGGCCTATGCAGCATCCCTGGCCTCTACCCACTAGACATAATGCCACCACCGCCAGTTGTGATTACTGGAAAATGTCTTCAGATATCGTCAGATGTCCCTGGTGAAGAACCACTGATTTAAGTGTTTAATTCCTACCATGTATGTAGCACCACATTAGGCAGTGCAAGGCATAAAAAGTATGACACACTTCACCATAAAAAAATACATTCTGATTGTCCTAAATGGAGTTATTCTGTTATTTCTCCTATTAAAAAAATTAAAACTATAAATGTGTATACTCATACACACACGCACGCGCACGCGCACACACACACACACATATATACATATTTACGGTAGTTATTCTCAAAGTTAACACACACACACACACACAATTGGATGATACCAGAAAAGTAGTAAGTGGGAAATATTGATGTCCCCATGCTGTATGTTTTAGCACAGATCAGTGTAAGAAATTATTACGGATCTATGGTGAGACTAGTAAGCAATTTCCAAATTATTTGTGTACTCCAAAGATTCAAATTGTTTTTTACGCTCTCATTTCTTATGAAGATAAAATACTCTTACTAATTTATAAATATGTTATAGAAGTTCTTATTTTTTAAAATGTGAATGTACCATTTGTCTTTGGGTAGAAATTATAATACTATTTATTGAAAGTGTTCCTTCAAGTTTCTGAGTTCTTAGTGAAAGGAAGATGAGCAATTGGATTATAATTTGACCTTTAAACATTTATAAGAAACATTATCACAAAAAATGTATGAAAAGAAAGAGCTTTAATATTTGGAATAGATTCTGCATCAAAAGAAGCAACTTATCATCTTGCCAAACCTCAGCCTTGTCATTGTTTTGGAGCAAGAAAGAGAATCGAACCTCACTCACGTTTTGTTGCCTGTACCATTGAACAAGGCCCTGACTCTTAAGACTAATGTTGAGACCCTTGTTTTCTTTGCAGACTGCATCATCTGCTATTAAAGGTGCTATTCAGCTGGGAATAGGATACACAGTGGGCAATCTCACTTCCAAGCCAGAACGAGATGTTCTTATGCAAGACTTTTATGTGGTGGAAAGTGTGTTTCTACCCAGGTAAGAACATTTTTATTTGTGATGATTTCCATGCTGTTTCTTTGTGACAACCCCATATTGAAGGGCTTTTCTACTATGTGCATGTTTACATGTACAGATGTGAATATTGGGCCTTTGGCAGGCCAAAGGCAGTCCAAATGATGTTTACTTCCTGTTTCATCGCAATTACTTCCTGATGCCTCGCAATTTTTATGTGAAGATGGTAAATAGGTTTCATCTATGGACCATTCTAATTAGTTATGATAAATACCTGGAAGACCATATGGAGAAAGATTTTGAGGTTCAGTGGGAAAGAGTGCAGTAATTACAGAGTAATGTCCACCAAGGGTTTAGAGAAAGAAGGCTTCCGTGAAGCAGCAGCTGGTGCTAGGTTTTTGCTCCCCCTAATTTAAAAGCATGAGCTAGGCCCACAATTGGGCCTCAAATCTGAGTCTAGTCTTATCTATTCTCTTTTATGACGACTTTAACTTAACTTTCCTCTGGAAAACATAGAGAATCCTGCTGTTTGCAAAAATACCAAGATTACCCATACATATTATCTCTAGCTTTCATCATTTTAGGGTGATGGGATCAATTATTTAAAAACGAATGCATCTGGAAATGGATGATGGTAATATGAATATATTAGTGCCACAGCACTGTACACTTAAAAATGGCTAACATGGTAAATTTTATGTTCAGTATATTTTACCACAATAAAACTAATTAATTAAAAATTATATTACTACCTTCATTTAGGAAGAGAAGAAGTAATCATTAAATAAGAAGTATCGTGGCTCAGGCCCGTTGCCCTGGCACTCAGGGAGGTGAGGCTACGCATTCGAGGTCAACCTGGTCAAAACTGATTTAAAAAAAAAAATTAAAAAAAAAAAAAAAGAATCACCACAAGTGACAGAATTTTTCAAATGATCTGAAAAATAAAAAAAAAAATGTTCAATTTGGGGACTTGGAGGTAATTATTTTGTCTTTGAAGCTGTGAGAATTGATTTTAACATTTCTCTTCAAAAAAAGCCTTGTTATTACCAGGCTTGGGTAAACATGGCTAAAGTGACACTTTGCTTACCACTAGTGTCCCCATCACCTTATTAAAAATCTATATGTATCTTTAGAAGAATTATGTTAACACATTTATCTCTGTGTGCAGGTGTCAATTGCCTAAAAATGAAACTTGTATGTGGACATGCGGTAACCCCCACATAGTCACTAAGGACCGGAGCCCATAAATTTTTAAAAGTCAGCTACCTAGTTTTACTTTAAATGCTCTTAGCTGCAGAATAAAGTTGGTCTACTGGCCTTTTGAAGTCTACTTGTCTAGGGTCCTCTAGCAGCCATGAGAACCAGATTCCAGGCAGAAAATGGACAACTCCAAGGCCCAAGATATAATCCTTGCTCATGATCCTACTCTTCTTTCTATAGTTGGAATTGTTCTCTGTGTTTGTTTTTAACAGTCTACCATTCCAAAAAAAAAAAAGTATATATTAAGTACATATTTTTCTCTTAAAAGCCAGGGGGTCTTGAGTTTATCTTCATCTTTTGGTATGATTTTTTTAGGCTCATAATGCTTGTGTGTTTGCAGGATGTTTGTTTGAGTTCTCATTTTTTTCAAAGGTCTCTACCCAGAGATTTCAACTTTGTTGTTCTTTGGCTACAAAGAACAGGAGAAATGGAGGACTTTGGTGGGAGTGTGGAGACAGTGAGCTCAGGGTGCTGAGGGCATTACAGCTGAATGTGGGGGTATAAAGATGTTTCATGTGCTCCCCCCTTCCTCACTGACTGACCTCTTCTACTTCCAGTGTCCAATCAACATAGCCAGCCATTGACGGGCTCTTGGGGAAAGCTTAGCTCAGGCATGAGGTCCCCAAATCCTAAATACCGGCACACCTGGAACTTGTTGACATGCAGATTCTTGGGCTCCACCCAAACCAACTGAATTAGAAACTCTGTGGGTTGGGAACCAGGAATCTGTTTTAACAAGCCCTCGGGTGATTCTCATTACAGAAAGGTTTCAGAACCACTGGCCTCGGCCATGACTTTCCACTTGAGAGAGAGAGACTTTTCTGGTAGATAATAAATTTTGTTCTTGGAGTTATCACACGTGTCTCTATCAACTAATAAAACTCAAATAATTTTTTAAAAGCATCTTAAATATCCAAATGACATCTATTAGCACTTTGTGTCTTTGGCCTTCACTGTCATCCAAAGGTAGCAGCAGCAGGTTGCTCACCTGGCAGAGGAGTAGCTAACTGACTTCCTTTATTTAGAGGTATCCCTTGTCACATTTAAAATATAGCATTTTAGAGTATTTGCAGCCTATAAATGTGGCATACTTGTAATCCCAGCTACTCAGGAGGAGGCTGAGGCAGGAGAAATCTCTGGAGCCTGGGAGGCAGAGGTTGCAGTGGGCTGAGGTCCTGCCACTGTACCTTCAGTCTGGTAACAGGGTGGGACTCTGTCTCAAAAAAAAAAAGAACGAAAAAGAAAAAAATACCTCCCTCATTTTCTTTATAATAGTATTGTGTTAAAATGAGAGTAAAGTCTGTAAGAAGACTTTGAAAAGTATTAAGTGATACACATATTGTGGGTGGTGTTAATATACACATATATATATACACATATGCAATGGGAGTAATGAAAATACTAAATAAATATAGATTAAAACTATTTAAAATAGATGCATGAAATAGAAAGGCTAAATAGATATAGAGTTTGCATATAGCATATTTAGTTGGATTAAGTTAGATTTAAATAGTGCGATAGAGAACTGTGCCTACAATTATAATTACAAATCAACCCTTTCTCTGGGCTGTCAAAAATAATCAGATATTAGACCAAAAATGACATGCTGTCTGCCTTACCTTTTAGTGATGATTTGTTAGGAAGAGGAAGGTGGGGACTGGGGGTGGAAAGATAGCAGAGTTTGTGAGGGAATGTTCTGTGTGACTGAAGACAAAGGCTGGGAATTCATGGACCGAAGGTGTGAATCTACTCTGAAAGACAGGCAGAGTCCAGTCCAGGGAAAAAGGTGCAGATGGGTAGGATTTGGGTGGGTACTTGAATTAAAAAAAAATGGATTTGCGCGGGTGGGTCTCACGCCTGTAACCCAGCACTTTGGGAGGCCGAGGCGGCCGGATCACAAGGTCAGGAGATCGAGACCTAGGTGAAACCTCTGGTCTCTACTAAAAATACAAAAAATTAGCTGGGCGCGTGGTGGTGTGGCGCCTATAGTCCCAGCTACTCAGGAGGCTGAGTCAGGAGAATGGCGTGAAGACCCGGGAGGCGGAGCTTGCAGTGAGCCAAGATGGCGCCACTGCACTCCAGCTTAGGGGACAGAGCGAGACTCCGTCTCAAAAAAACAAACAAAAAAAATGGATTTGTGAGGCAATATTGCTGGGGTCCAAACCAAAAAATCAAATTGACCAGAGTGAAAAATAGCCTGGGTCCTAGCGTGGTTCTGCTGCCACATGGGATGACTGGACTGTCTTTTCAGGTTCATATAACAAACCATACTATTTAAAGTATACATGAAATGCTTTCTCTTCATTCAAGCGACCTTACTAAAAACACCCCATGAAAATGAAAGTCTGTATCTTGCCTTCAAAACAAAAATGGCCATACAAAATTTAACATTTGATGCATTTTTTTTCTTATTTGTTATTTTTAAATTAAAAAGAATTATTGTCGCGGCTTGGCTCTATGCCCCTGGACTCGGACTCCCACGCCACCATGGCAGGTGCCGGCCTCAACATTTGATTCAGACCAAGAATTTCTTTCAGCAGATGCTATCTTGTTTGTTAAGTAACACAGGCACACCAGATGGATTTACAGTAAACAGAAGAAACTAGTCTTGCCTCAGTTTCATCATCTGGACTCAGTGTCTTCATGGATTTAGCAAAGGGATTTGGCCCAGTGTTTCTCAATGGAGGTGCTATTGGCCTTGTTGGATAGGACAACTCTTTGTGCAAGACAGTACATTTCAGAAGATCTGTGGTCCCCAGGCCCTGCCAGTAATATCTCCTAGTTGCTGTAGCAATCAAAAAACCCCTACAAAGTGATGGATAAATTTAGTATCTTGATTGTGGTGATGGTTCCACACGTGGATATACACATGTGAAAAAGTAACAAATTGTATACTTTATTGTATGTCAAATAAACTTCAATAAATCAGTCAAATAATGCTTTCTCTCTTCAAGTATTTCCAAGCCCATATGGGGATGAGGAAAGGGGTAGGTGGGCAGGACAGGCCCTGGTTGTAAGCATCCAAAACACTCTGCAGTCTCTGATGGCTCCAGAACTCAACGAGTCTATCTGGGTCATAGAACTAATTACTTGAGGTACCTGGAGATGTTTTAATTTATTGCTCTCTGAAGTTGCAGAATCCATTTCCCCTAGCAACCAAATGCATTGTTTTGTTTTTTTTTTTCTTATTTATATATTTTGAAGCTGCTCAAAGTTATTTTTAAATATCAAGTACATAATTTGTCCTGTGAATTATTTCATTTTGTAGATGGAAAAAGCCCTGGGCCTTTTTAAGATTTGAAAGAGGATATAAAAATCTCTTTTAACTGTCTGGCTCCATGATCTTCCAAAATGTGTTCCAAAATCTCAAAGTAGATAAGTAAGAAAATCATGATCATATCTTAATATTTTGACCCCAAATTCTGTGTTAGGATCAGAAGCTCAAGGTTGTAGATAGTTTTCATGCACTGATAGGATAAAGAAGAAGGAGGATGGTTTATAATGCTTGTACCATGTAAACAAGAACCTAAGGTGGCAAAGGGAGGCAAAATTTTTAAGAACTAACTGAACCAAGCATAGTTTTATTCATATAGTAAATTGGCTTATATAACATATATTAATTTTTATTATCTTTCATCTTTATAAGAACACTATTTGGTGTGTGAAATAATTTGGCCCTAAGACATTAAGTCACTTAGCCCAAGGCTATCCAGCCAATAAATGGTAAAACCAAGATTTTAACTCAGGGTTAGCTGGCCCCAGAG